CCTTGGTGACAATTTGCAACAAGTTAATGCTGACATCTATGGACAGTATGAACCATTGCTGACAAGTAAATCAGCGGGTCTCTTTACTGACTATTGGAGCCATCATTGAATCTCTGCTGACAGGAAACCGGTTTAAACCTCTGCTGACTATGCAAAACAAGTCTACGTATTTCTGCTCAAAAGTACAGGTTATATGAGAATTTTTATTGAATTTTTTAATACTCTACTAAATTACTATCCAAGGTATATATTAAATACTTTGTCAACAGTATTACTCAACTTATGTCTTACTTTAAATATTACATCCCTCACAGTAATATTCAAAATATCTTTCAATTTAAACTTTTCTTCAGAGAGCAAAAAGTAATGTCTTAATTACACTTTAGTCAAAAGACAATCTAACTCAACTTCCTCATCTGTGAACACTTCGGCAGTACAGTTTCTATAGGAGAGTCATTCACCCACCCCACCCCACACTACCTCTCCTCCCCATGATCATCCCAGAGCAGCACGTTACGTTTCCTGTGTTAATGGGTCGCATGAGACAGACCTCCACCCATTTGTGTTGGCACTGAACCATGTCACCACCACCACCTACATCTGGTGTGTCATATCTATTCTTAATACAGATAAGGAGCTGAAACAGTGAACCAGTAAGCTGGTCTCACAACATCCTGATTGGCTACACCAGAACCCTGAAAGAACCACAAAGGAGCTCGCTGAAAAAAAAAAAAATCATCATGGGGAAGGTTGCCTCAGGTGTGCTTGGGACAGTAAAATCTGATTTAGAGTGTCAAGATAGAACCCATTTTTAACCTGTGAGTGCTCCTAATGTTGAGGTTATTTAAATGATTATCCTGATCTCTTTCTTATGCGTTTGCTTCAACACAAAGGCCTTTCATGCCAGGATATCCCTCCGTCTTACATACCACAAACAAATGCTCCTGCAGCACTATGATGGCAGATCTAAATATTGTCCAGGCCCTCAACTGTGGTGCCTCTATAGGGTGGCATGAGAAGCACGACGAAGTAAACAAGACCACCGAGAGATGATCACCAGACACTCAGAGAATCCTAGATCTTCACCCTGTTGGTCCTAGTAATGCCATAATAAATAAATTGATGGATGCCAGACAGTTGGACTGGGATTAAAAATGTGGTTCCACCCCCAGCAGCTGCCAACCAGTGATAATACTGTAGTCAAACAATAAGGGACAGTGAGTTCTAACTAGCGTCCCAGGATTATTTTAATTAGTGGCTTTACCCAAGATATTGTATTGTTTTTCCCAAGAGATTTAGAGACACTTTGGCTACTGGGGTCAAGGTGCTATAACGCCTTAACTAATTTGGGGTACAAACTCACTGAGGTCACCAGGGAGTCAAGAGCGTCTCGCTACCCGTTTCAGCGCCTGGAGAGAGTAACAACCCTGAGCAGGTATGTCTGCTGTGTACTTGGCTCACGTCTCTAGTCTGAGCAGCTCGGGGAAGATTTTGACATGTGGTAATTAGCCTTAGCAACTTGTTGAAAAAAATAGCAACATTGCAAAAAAACGTGAATTCCAACAGTAATATATATATATATATATATATATATATATATATATATATATATATATATATATATATATATATATATATATATATATATATATATATATATATATATAAAATGAGTACTATTGAATCATAATAGAAGGGCCGTGATAAGTGCTAATAAGTGTCATTAAAGGGCTAAGATGAGTAGCACCACAAGTACACTACAAAGAGTAGTCAGAGGACACACTTAAGAGCACTACTGGTGAGACGCGGCTCAAGACCTTAACTGGGGGTTATAAAGTCCTCTTGAGAGACGTCATCGCGTGTCGATGATGTGTGGCATTAACATATTAATATTAGTCAGGGGAGGGAGAGCGGCGGGGGAGTGGTCCTGTTCTGGTATACGAGGAGAGAAAAGGGGGAGAGGGAGTGAGGGAGAACGAGGGAGATACTGTATATTGGGAGAGTAGAAGAGTGCCTGGGGAAGGTGGGGAAGAGGGGAGGGGGTGATGGAAGAAAACAGGGAAGAGGGACAGAAGTGTAGGAGAGGCGAGGCGAGGCGGCGGGGAGGGTGAGGGCAGAAAAAGATTAAGAGTCAATGGAAAAGTGTGAGGAGTGAGGAGAACCAGATCACATTTTTAGGTCAGCTGGAAGAGCAAGGACATCCTGGAATGAGAGAGAGAGAGAGAGAGAGAGAGAGAGAGAGAGAGAGAGAGAGAGAGGAGAGAGAGAGAGAGAGAGAGGCAGGTCGACAGGGTGGTGAGCCTCCCCCATGTTGGTAGTTTGTAAACACTCAATATTACAGCGTGCTCGTGACGCCCGCTCTGCCGCGCTCTCCAACAAAGACCAGGACTGCTGCTGGTCTGCTGGTGTAGTGTCGTCTGCTGGTATAGTGTCGTCTGCTGGTATAGTGTCGTCCATTGGTGTAGTGTCGTCTACTGGGTGTCTACGTGGTGTCTGCGTTGGTATAGTGTCGTCTACTGGTATATGTGTCGTCTGCTGGTATAGTGTCGTCTACTGGTGTAGTGTCGTCTGTTGGTATAGTGTCGTCTGCTGAGTGGTTGCTGGTTTGTGGTGTAGTGTCGTCTGTCGTCGTAGTGTCGGTTGGTATAGTGTCGTCTACCGGAAGTGTCGTCTGCCGGTATAGTGTCGTTTGCTGGTGTAGTGTCGTCTGTTGGTATAGTGTCGTCTGTTGGTATAGTGTCGTCTGCTGGTATAGTGTCGTTTGTTGGTGTAGTGTCGTCTGCTGGTGTAGTGTCGTCTACTGGTGTAGTGACGTCTGCTGGTGCGTTTGCGGTGTAGTGTCGTCTGTTGGTAGTGTGTCGTCTGTTGGTATAGTGTCGTCTGCTGGAAGTGTCGTTTGTTGGTGTAGTGTCGTCTGTTGGTGTAGTGTCGTCTACTGTAGTGACGTCTGCTGGAAGTGTCGTTTGCTGGTGTAGTGTCGTCTGTTGGTATAGTGTCGTCTGTTGGTATAGTGTCGCGCTGGTATAGTGTCGTCTGCTGGTATAGTGTCGTCTGTTGGTGGTCGTCTGTTGGTATAGTGTCGTCTGTTGTATAGTCTCGTCTGCTGGTATAGTGTCGTTTGTCTCTGGTGTAGTGTCGTCTGTTGGTATAGTGTCGTCTGTTGGTATAGTGTCGTCGCTGGTATAGTGTCGCCTGCTGGTATAGTGTCGTCTACTGGTGTAGTGTCGTCTACTAGTGTAGTGTCGTCCACTGCGGTGTCGTGGTGTAGTGTCGTTTGTTGTGTAGTGTCGTCTGCTGGTGTAGTGTCGTCACTGGTGTAGTGACGTCTGCTGGAAGTGTCGTTTGCTGTGTAGTGTCGTCTGTTGGTATAGTGTCGTCTGTTGGTATAGTGTCGTTACTGTGTAGTGTCGTCTGTTGGCAGTGGTGTCGTATAGTGTCGTCTGCTGGTATAGTGTCTTCTGCTGGTATAGTGTCGTCTACTGGTGTAGTGGTCGTCTGTTGGTATAGTGTCGTCTGCTGATGTAGTGTCGTCTGTTGGTATAGTGTCGTTCACTGGAAGTGTCGTTGCTGGTATAGTGTCTACTGGTGTCGTATAGTAGTGTCGTCCACTGGTGTAGTGTCGTCTGCTGGTGTAGTGTCGTCTGCTGGAAGTGTCGTCTGTTGGTAGTGTCGTCTGCTGGTGTAGTGTCGTCTACTGGTGTAGTGACGTCTGCTGGAAGTGTCGTCGTCGTCTACTGTAGTGTCGTCTGCTGGAAGTGTCGTCTGTTGGTATAGTGTCGTCTGCTGGTAGTGTCGTCTACTGGTGTAGTGACGTCTGCTGGAAGTGTCGTCTGCTGGTATAGTGTCGTCTACTGGTGTAGTGACGTCTGCTGGAAGTGTCGTCTGTTGGTATAGTGTCGTCTGCTGGTGTAGTGTCGTCTACTGGTGTGGGACGTCTGCTGGAAGTGCTGTCTGCTGGTATAGTGTCGTCTACTGCGTAGTGTCGTCTGCTGGAAGTGTCGTTTGTTGGTGTAGTGTCGTCTGCTGGTGTAGTGTCGTTCTGGTATAGTGTCGTCTGTTGGTATAGTGTCGTCTGCTGGTATGTGTGTCGTCTACTGGTGTAGTGTCGTCTGTTGGTAGTGTCGTCTGCTGGTAGTGTCGTCTGTGGTCTGTCGTCTGCTGGTATAGTGTCGTCTGCTGGTATAGTGTCGTCTACTGGTAGTGTCGTCTGCTGGTATAGTGTCGTCTGCTGGCATAGTGTCGTCTGCTGGTAGTGTCGCTGCTTGTATAGTGTCATCTCCTGGTTGTGTCTCGTTTAATGGTATGTCGTCGCTGCTGGTATAGTGTTGCTGGTATAGTGTCGTCTGCTGGTATAGTGTCGTCTGCTGGTATAGTGTCGTCTGCTGATGTAGTGCCGTCTGCTGGTGTAGTGTCGTTCGCTGATGTAGTGCCGTCTGTTGGTATAGTGTCATCTCCTGGTTGTCTCGTTCGATGGTATGCTGTCGTCTGCTGGTATAGTGTCGTGTACTGGTGTAGTGTCGTCTACTGGTATAGTGTCGTGCGTACTGTCGTGTACTGGTATATGTGTCGTCTGCTGGTATAGTGTCGTCTGCTGGCATAGTGTCGTTCGCTGGTAGTGCCGTCTGCGTCTGTATAGTGTCATCTCCTGGTTGTGTCTCTGTTTAATGGTATGCTGTCGTCTGCTGGTATAGTGTTGTCTGTCTGGGTATAGTGTCGTCCTGCCGGGTATAGTGTCTCGCTGTGTAGTGCCGTGCTGGTGTAGTGTCGTCTGCTGATGTAGTGCCGTCTGCTTGTATAGTGTCATCTCCTGGTTGTCTCGTTTAATGGTATGCTGTCGTCTGCTGGTATAGTCTGTCTGCTGGCATAGTGTCGTCTGCTGTAGTGTCGTCTGCTAGTGCCGTCTGCTGATGTATGTGTCATCTCCTGGTTGTCTCGTTCGATGGTATGTTGTCGTCTGCTGGTGTCGTACTGGTGTAGTGTCGTCTACTGGGTAGTGTCGTCTACTGCGTAGTGTCGTCTAGTGTCGTCTGCGGGTACAGTGTCATCTGCTGGTGTACTGTCGTCTGCTGGTATAGTGTCGTCTGCAGTATAGTGTCGTTCTGCTGGTAGTTGCCGTCTGCTGGTATAGTGTCATCTCCTGGTTGTGTCTCGTTTGATGGTATGCTGTCGTCTACTGGTGTAGTGTCCTCTACTGGTGTAGTGTCGTCTGCTGGTATAGTGTCGTCTGCTGGTAGTGTCGTCTGCTGGTAGTGTCGTTGCTGGTAGTGTCGTTCGCTGGTGTACTGTCGTCTGCTGGTATAGTGTCGTCTGCTGGTATAGTGTCGTCTGTCGTGTCTGTGTGGTATAGTGTCGTCTGCTGGTATAGTGTCACCTGCTGGTATATGTCGTCTGCTGGTATAGTGTTGTCTGCTGGTAGTGTCGTCTGCTGGTATAGTGTCGCCTGCTGGTATAGTGTCGCGCTGGTATAGTGTATCTGCTGGTGTAATGTCGTCTGCTGGTATAGTGTTGTCTACTGGTATAGTGTCGTTCGCTGGTGTAGTGTCTGCTGTAGTGTCATCTGCTGGTGTACTGTCGGTCTGTCGTCTGCTGGGTATAGTGTCGTCTGCTGATGTAGTGTCGTCTGCTGGTATAGTGTCGTTCACTGGTGTAGTGTCGCCTGCTGGTATATGTGTCGTCTGCTGGTAGTGTTGTCTGCTGGTATAGTGTCGTCTGCTGGTAGTGTAGTGTCGTTACCTGGTGTAGTGTCGCCTGCTGGGTATAGTGTCGTCTGCTGGTATAGTGCGTTGTCTGCTGGTATAGTGTCGTCTGCTGGTATAGTGTCGTCTACTGGTGTAGTGTCGTTCACTGCTGCAGTGTCGTCTTACTGGTATAGTGTCGTCTGCTGGTGTAGTGTCATCTGCTGGGTGTCGTCTGCTGGTTTAGTGTCGTTGCCGATTTAGTGTCTCGTTTGGTGGTAGTGTGTCGTCTGTTGGTATATTGTCTTGTCTGGTGGTATAGTGTCGTCTGCTGGTATAGTGTCGTCTGCTAGAGTGTGGTCGTCTGCTGGTATAGTGTCTTCTCGTGGTGTAGTGTCATCTGCTGATAGTGTCTTGTTTGGTGGGATAGTGTCGTCTGCTAGTATAGTGTCGTCTGCTGGTATAATGTCGTTCCTGGTAGTGTCGTCTGCTGGTATAGTGTCGTCTGCTGACATAGTGTCTCATTTGGTGGCATAGTGTCGTCTGCTAGTATAGTGTCGTCCGTGGTATAGTGTCGTCTGCTGATATAGTGACTCGTTTGGTGGTATAGTGTAGTCTGCTGTTATTGTGTCTCGTTTGGTGGTTTAGTGTCGTCTGCTGGAATAACTTCGTCCGGTGGTATAGTGTCGTCTGCTGGTATAGTGCCGTTTGCTGGTATGATGTTGTCTACTGGTCCTGTTGACGGTATGGGGAGGGTCGTCTGCTGAATATGATATGGAGAGGATTTTCTGCGGGTGTGGGAATGGGGGAGCGTTGTTCGCTAGCGGTGGTGGTGGTGGTAGTGACGGCGGGTCTACCACACACTCCAACAAAGACGGCGGAGGGCTGTGGCGGTGGTGCCGGTGGAGCGAGGGCCGTTCTCCCGCTCTTCTGCCCTCCATGATGACGCACATATTTACGACCGCAGCAGCCCATTACCCCCTTCGCCCGCACCCTACCCCAAACACCTGCCCATAAACGTGATTTAAGAGCGAAATCTGTAATGTATTGGACGATGCATTGTGGGAAGTGGAGGGAGGCAGCGCCAGCCCGGTACGTCGGCCGCCCCCTGGCGATGTGACACGACGCCTCGACCAATCACCGACCCGTCTCACACAAGCCCCGCCTCCTCCAACGCACCCTCGATACCTTTGACTTCGCCGATGTCATCAACCATACCAACGGTAAGAATAATTATAGTAAACAGCCTTACGAGGGTATGGTCACGCTAGGGTACGAGCTTCAGCTTATCAGCTACCAAGAAACTCATAGAAGGAAAGTTGTTATGAACGATATGCAAACATCTTAGCTGAAGACGGGCCTGGAGGACAACACCGGCTTCTGGTGTCGTCCACGGAACTACAGCCGCTTCTCTGCTTCTTGATTTTTCAGGATCCTCGACAACTCTCCTCTGGTACTTGCCCCGGCTATAGGCGCCCTTGACACTCAGGCTGTCAGAAGTGAAGCCTCCCAGGCCGGCAAGCTGCCTTCACCGTTTCCTCTTACTGTCTACCTTAAGGGCTTCACCGAGGGCCTCGAAGAGAGGCATTTTGGCCGCCGCCAACCCTGCCCGACACACCACTGTACCTCACGGCCAGACAGTCGCCTCGCCACTCAACAACCACTACAAAAAAAGCTAAATTTTTCCAGGCCTGGGAGGCCCAGGACGGCAGGTGGTGATCCCTGTTACCTCACTCCTTGGCAGGAGGTTTGTCCACCAAAGATGCTCTGACGAGCATTCATTCTACCTTTGGTTAGATAATATTGGTCCCTCTACTTTCAGTTAAAGACAGCCAGTTATAAGACCACGAGGAGGTGAATTTATCTAAGGTTTAAAACTGTGACGAACACAACCCATAGTTGGCGAGCATTATAACCCAGTGTCAAGGATATAATTCAAGACCAGACAACCCGCCTACTGCATTGGCTGACAATTATCCAGGAACAAAATTCTCTAATGATTTACATCCAGGTCTCCAATCCCCAATTACTGTTGGTTAGACGGAGACAAATAGGACAAAGAACTTGCACATAGTTCCCCCATCCCGGAAACTGAGACAAGGTTTCTGGCTTGTAAGGCGAACATGTTAACCACTGCCCCAAAGATTACATTATCTATAGTTATTTGTTCAATATATCAGATGATTTATACGGGTAAGGTTAAGAATACCTGTGTAATATGAATACTTGGGTAATATGAATACTTGGATAACATGAATACCTGTGTAATATGAATATCTGTCTAATATGAATACCTGTGTAATATGAATACCTGTGTAATATGAATACTTGGGTTATATGAATACTTGGGTAACATGAATACATGTGTAATAAGAATACCTGTGTAATATGAATACTTGGGTAACATGAATATCTGTAACATTTACCTTTAATATGCAGTTGGCCACGGCCTCCGACTCCTGTACGGAGACGTTGTAGAAGCTCTGGTCGAAGATGGGCTCGTTATCGTTGACGTCGCGGATGGTGACCTTGACGGTGGCGGAGGACGACAGTGCCGGTGACCCAGAGTCTGTCGCTATGACAGTAATCTGCGGCACCGGCTCCGTCTCACAATCCACGTGAGTCCTCGTCGTAATCAGCCCCGTCCGAGAATCAATCTGGAACCAGTCCGAGTGAGTCTCAGGTGTATCTCGAATCGAGTACGTAATCACGGAATTGTTACCTTCGTCTCGATCTAACGCCGATAGTTGGAACACGGAGGTGCCCGGGTCGGCCACCTCCAACACGTTAGCGTAGTACACAGTCTGGTCGAATTCCGGAGCGTTATCGTTCATATCCGTAACTTGTAGGTCAAATTTACGCGAAGCGTGGAGTGGCGGGTTGCCCATATCTGTAGCAAACACCACTAACGTGTAGTTGGGCTTTATCTCGCGGTCCAGTGGCCGCGACACCACCATCAGGTATATGATACTGTCATGCGTGGTGAGGTCGAAGTGGCCCTCCCCGCCCTCCAAAGTAACATTCACGTTCGCATATTCTTCTTTCGAGTCTGGATCGTTGACGGAGATCCTCGCCACGAATTCTCCTGGTTGTGCATCTTCAGATATCTTTGGCGTTGCGTCGTCGGAAAGAAAGATCAGGTTGATGGTTGGCTGGTTGTCGTTGACATCGATGACACGGATGGAGATGAAGGCGGTGGTCTCCAGGGGCTGGTCACCGTTGTCACGGGCCACCACCACCAACTCGTGTACTTCCTTCGTTTCAAAATCCAGAGGCCGATTAACTGAGATGACGCCTGATTTTGGGTCAATTTGGAACATGCTCTCACGGTCACTTTGGCGACGATTGATGGAGTAGGTGATCTTGCCGTTGTCACCAGAGTCAGTATCGGTAGCTAAGACCTGCAGAACCGATGTGCCGATGGTCGCGTTCTCTGGTACAGTGGCGAAGTAACGACTTTGGTTGAAGATGGGTTGATTGTCATTGACATCCTGAATGGTGATATTGACGGTCATGGATCCCTTGAGGGGCGGGGAGCCACCGTCCCACGCCTCTATCAGCAGCGAGTAAAAGGCTGTGGTCTCCCGGTCTAGGAATCCATTGATCTGCAGATCGAGGTAGAGGACGCTGTCTCTCTCGCGGTGGGAAGAGAGGCGGAAGGCGTTGTTTACATTGCCGGACACAATTCGATATCGTTGAGTGTTGAAGATGCCAAGGTCTCTGTCGCGAGCTGGCGCCAGCGTGCGCTTCACGTCGCGCGGAGTGTTCTCTGGGAATTCGATGTTCATGACGGCGGAGGGGAAGGTGGGGGCGTTGTCGTTCTCGTCCTTGACCTTGATGAGAACCCGGATATTCTCGCCCGAGTGTGGGATGGCTACCAGAGAGTAAGAGGACCTCAGTTCGCGGTCCAGCACGACCTCGGTCTTGATTTCGCCCGTATCATCCTCGATCCTGAGGTCCGAGTCCACGGCGCTGCCAGGCACCGGTACTATCAAATATGGCGGTTGCGGCGGCAACGGTTGTCCGGGGTTACTGTCGCCGATGAAACCGATATTGGTGCCTATTGCCACACCCTCCGATACTTCGAATTTCCGCTCGTATTCGCAGGTGGCGGGACAGAGGACGAGAGCCAGTACGAGCGCCAGCATGGCCGCCCACGGCTGAGTCCTGCCCGGGGCCCTCACTGTTCTAGCACTAACTGTGGCACCACACCGCTCACTGCCACTGGCCACCACTCTCGCCCCTGCTCTCCTGGTAGTGAGCACTGGGGGCGGCGTGGTTGTGTCCCGCAGGCGTCCCCGGCAGCAGCAGGAGCAGCAGGGCGGCACGGGGGCAGCGGGACTGGAGGGGTCACCCACGTCCCCCTCCTCCCCGAGGCGGCACTGCTCACACATCATGTCGGTGCATCACTGCTCCACGCACGCACCACCACACTCGCGCACCACACTGTCACCACCAACACTGCCACCACCACACTGCCACCACCACACTGCCACCACCACACTGGCCACCACCACACTTATTGCACGACACTGTGGGCAGCCCTAGAGGGCCTCGCCCGGCCCTGCGGCACTGAGAAAGAGCGCTTACTGTAGCGACACTGCCAGGGGTCCCTGCTGCTGGCGTGGAGTGTCCAGGGCGGCACTAGAAGGCCCCAGCCACCCTCTCTAACACGCCCACGCCGCCCGCACTCCTGAAACACAGAAAGAAAAATCTCATTAAAACACCATCAAAGTTATAGCAAGAAGAGTGGGAAGTTGGCACCAAAACAACTCCGCACACAAGACTTAACATACACCTACTGTACACACTGATAGCACCTTGACCCACTGAAGGAAAGAATAATGAGAAAATAGTGTCCACCGAGAGTAACTATCGCTACATATACCAGAGTGATCCAGGAGAAATAATATATGACAAGAACCACAAATACTCCCTCGATCTGTGGGGACCATCCCTGCCTGGTGGTTGTGAGGTGGTAGTTGTGAGGTGGTAGTTATGAGGTGTTGGTTGTGAGGTGGTAGTTATGAGGTGTTGGTTGTGAGGTGGTAGTTGTGAGGTGGTAGTTGTGAGGTGGTAGTTGTGAGGTGGTAGTTGTGAGGTGGTAGTTGTGAGGTGGTGGTTGTGGAGGTGTTAGTTGTGAAATTTAATAGTGGTTGTGAATTCACTAGTTGTGAGGTGGTGGTTGTGAGGGTCTTAGTTGCTGAGGTCTTAGTTGTGAGGGTGGTAGTTGGGGAGTGTTAATTGTGGTGGTGGTTGTGGGGGTCTTGGTTGTGAAGTGTGGTGGTTGTGAGGTCTTAGTTGTGAGGTGGTAGTTGTGGGGTGTTAGTTGTGAAATTGGTAGTTGTGGGTGTTAGTTGGGGTGTTAGTTGTGAGTGGAGGTTGTGGGGTGTGTAGTTGTGAGGTGGTGGTTGTGAGGTCTTAGTTGTGAGGTGGTGGACAGCAGGGTGGTAGTTGTGAGGTGGTAGTTGTGGGGTGTGGTTGTGTAAGGTGATGGTTGTGAGGTGGTGGTTGGCGAGGTCTTAGTTGTGAGGGTGGTAGTTTGCAGGCTAGTAGTTGTGAAATTGGTGGTTGTAAGGTGGTGGTTGTGAGGTGGTGGTTGTGAGGTCCTTAGTTGTGAGGTGGTGGTTGTGAAGTGGTAAATTTGTGAGGTGGTAGTTGTGAGGTGGTGGTTGTGAGGTGTTGGTTGTGAGGTGGTGGTTGTGAGGTCTTAGTTGTGAGGTGGTAGTTGTAGGTAGTAGTTGTGAATTGGTAGTTGTGGAGGTGGTGGCTATAGGGTCTTAGTTGTGTGGTGGTAGTTGTGAGGTGTTAGTTGATTGTGAATTGGTGGCTGTAGGGTCTGGTTGTGTGGTGGTAGTTGTGAGGTGTGTGGTTGTGAGGTAGTGGTTGTGAGGTGGTGTGAGAATTGGTAGTTGTGAAATTGGTGGCTGTGGTGTAGTTGTGTGTGTGGTTGTGAGGTGGTAGTTGTGAGGGTGGTGGCTGTGTGAGGTCTTAGTTGTGAGGTGGTAGTTGAGGTGGTGGCTGTGAGGTCTTAGTTGTTGGAGTGGTGGTTGTGAGGTGGTAGTTGTGGGGTGGTAGTTGTGAGGTGGTGGTTGTGAGGGTCTTGGTTGTGAGGTGGTGGTTGTGAGGTGGTAGTGTGAGGTGGTAGTTGTGAGGTGGTAGTTGTGAGGTGGTAGTTGTGAGGTGGTAGTTGTGAGGTGGTAGTTGTGAGGTGGTGGTTGTGAGGTCTTAGTTGTGAGGTGGTAGTTGTGAGGTGGTAGTTGTGAGGTGGTGGTTGTGAGGTGGTAGTTGTGAGGTGGTAATGGTTGTTGTCAGGAGGAAGTGGTAGTGATGGAAACACCTGTTACAGATGTGGAAACCATAAGGTGAGGAACACAGGTAGTAGCAGGTGTGTAAAATATGCAGTAGCAAGTGGCAGGTGTAGCCCAGCTGCCCACACCGGCGACCGCTGACAAGTGAAACTCTTAATTGGTCCTTGTTGTTACAGGTGTCAAGTTGTTAGTTAATTATAAGAAAAATAGTGGCAATGTCGACAGCATGTAACTGGCGTTCAGGGGACGAGCATCTGGGCCAATCAGAACGCTCGGCAGGAAAGAGAGTGGATGTGATTGGAGGATACATATTCATGTGTCGTTTGTCGCTGCCATGTTTACCCCGGAGATAATTTCACGGTGAGAAATATCACAGACCCACCATTTAGGCAACACTGCATCTCGGCTGCTCCCCATTATGTATTAATTTTCGGGTCTGGGGATGGGCAGCCTCTCTCTCTCTCTCTCTCTCTCTCTCTCTCTCTCTCTCTCATTCAGCAGCCGTGTGTGGGTCCATAGCATTGAACAAGTTCTACCGCCATATTTGTTTTGATCCGTAGTTCCGAGAAGCGCCGTTGGAGATGTGGTGGCGCTGGTTGTACACCTTAAAAGTTTACGTCCTAAAGTGTTCCTACCATCAGGGAATCTCTCTCTCTCTCTCTCTCTCTCTCTCTCTCTCTCTCTCTCCAAATCGATGATATACACATTTATTTACACATTACTACACATTATGGCGGTAACCCCTGTGTAATATTATCACATATTGGCTTAAAACTAATAGGGACATCTTAGAGTACACGTTGTTGTATATCCTGTACTCTGGGACACCAATCAGGATGCTCTATAAGACATTTGTGAGGACACCCTACAGTACACACCGGGACATTAATTGAGAAATCCTACAGTGTGAGACATCCATAAGGACATCCTATATTCCATGACATCTTAAAGGACATACATGAGGACACCTTATACCTTGGGACATCGACGAGGACATTCACTAGACACATGCAACTCAAAACATCTACAGTCAATCGAAAATCTAGGACATCGTTACTACTTGAGGACATTCATTCACTATAGGTCATAAAAAAGTCTTCACTCTCCCAGGAAACTTATCAGAACTTTTAAATGTCCTATAAGGAACCCAGACTTAAAATAGGACATCCCTAAATTTCTTCCACCCACTTTAGGATCACCGGTAAAAGACACTATCTATATCTTTAGGACACACACACACACACACACACACACACACACACACACACACACACACACACACACACACATGATGTCCCGCAGTCAGCAACACCAGCTTACAAATGCTCTCTTACACGGTAAATTGTAAACAACATAATGAGTCATTAAGACAGGAGGACCTCGGCTTTAATTTGCCGTAATTTTCTCTTCAGCTGCAGGTCCCTACCAGCACCCGCCCGACGCAGGTAAGGGGTACGGGCAGGCACAGGAAACGCTAAGTGGCCAGGTAAGGGAACAGGTACAGGTAATGCTAGATGACCAGGTAAGCGTACTGGTACAGGTACATGTAACGCTAATTGACCCAGGTAAGCGTAAAGGTACAGGTACTATCTACAGTAAATGGCCCAGGTAAGGGTACACGTATAGTAAGGTACAGTACAAGTAAACGTACCGGGTACTTCTAAAGGACCGGGATTAAAAATATTGGTACAGGTAAGGGAACAAATAAAGGTACAGGTATAGGTACAGTTAATGCTAATTGGTCCAGGTAAAGGCTGTGGCTTGTACTCAGGTACTTGGTGTGTTCAACCAGGCACACCTGTTCAAAACTCCCTCTAATTAGCAGCGAAATGAGGCTGATTAGACAGATAGACAGACAGACAGATATGTGCAGAGAGAAATTGAAGGATAAATACAACTTATTAGGAGCTCTACACTAAATAGGTAAGGAGGAGGAGGACAAAGAAGAGGAGAAGGAGGAAGAAGAAGAAGAAGAGGAGGAGGAGGAGGAGGAGGAGGAGGAGGAGTAGAAGGAGGTAGGTGTGTGTGTTGTACCGATGGATGGGGAGAATGTACAATGATTCGGGACTTTTCTTACAACATTTCTACGTGTCATCTCCGCTCCGAGGCTGGGCGAGAGAGAGAGAGAGAGAGAGAGAGAGAGAGAGAGAGAGAGAGAGAGAGAGAGAGAGAGAGAGAGAGAGAGAGGAGAGCCCCACAATCCCATGGATATAACACACCTGTATTGGCAGAGAAACAAACATTTACAAGTTCTAGATGGTCAGAGTTCCCATCTGTTAACGGTATTGGTGAGGTCATGGTGGTGTGTGTGTGTGTATGCATGTGTGTGTGTGTGTGTGTGTGTGTGTGTGTGTGTGTGTGTGTGTGTGTGGAGTACTTATATGTCTATAAAATAAGCATGAAGAAAATTATATGTGTGTTGAGGGAAATACACACACACACACACACACACACACACACACACACACACACACACAGGCCTGACCACCTCTAACTGGACTTTATTTAAAATGCATAAATAACTCTCGTATCAAGTTTGACTGCGGTGCCTCCCATGGTCTTTTTTACTAATAACGTGGAGGCTATTTGTGTACAGGCGGACGGGTGGACGGACGGGTGGACGGACGGATGGACGGACGGATGGACGGACGGGTGGACGGACGGACGGATGGACGGGTAATAGCGTACGTGAACCAAATATTTTTTTTATCATGAGGGTGAGGGGGGGAAAGGGGTGAGGGGGGGAAAGGGGTGAGGGGAAGGATAAAGGGATAGAAAGGGGGATGAGGAAGGATAAAGGGGTAGAGAGGGGGATAAAGGAGACGGGAAGGAGTAGAGAAGGGGATAAAGAAGGGAAGAGGGAAAGGAAGGATAAAAATACCAACTATATTTCTAAGCCGAGAAATAATAAATAAATTTAGTTCATGTATAACATTTGAGGCAGTGATAACAAGGAGGCAATTAATATGCAGTTCAAGGTATTCAACTCAGAGATGTGTTGTCCATGCCTTGGTGTATAAACTGCCCCTTATTATGACTACTGTATCGATCAACACAACGATGGTTTAACACTTTTGAGCACAATGGTTTATTTATTTAATTTTTTTTTTGAGGACATTGATATATTTTTTTAGGACAATGGTTTAATTTTTTGAGGACAATGGTTTAATTTTTTTTAGGACAATGGTTTAATTTTTTTTAGGACAATGGTTTCTTTTTTTTATCTCAATGGTTTTTAGCCTTTTAAAAATAATAATATAATCCTTTGAAGGAAATGGTTTAACTATTTGAGTACATTAGTTTAATTAACCCTTTTGAGGACAACGGTTTAAAATTTATCATAACATTGGTTTTATTTACAAGAGAACAATAATTTAACCCT